AATAAGATCTGGAGAATTGTACTGTTGGCTGATGAAAAATTTTTGGAAAGAAAGATCATGAATTTAAATAAATGGGAAGAAGATTGGCCCAAAAGAAGTTGTAGGCATAGAACTTAAGATTTAACTAGAGATGATTTGGAAATTAGCTGCATAAAGTTGTTTGTTGACCAGGTGAACTTGATAGTTTTTCATACTCTGTCATTTGGAGAACCAACAGAGAAATCTTAAAATGCTATATATGGAAAGGAGGAAGGTTTAAACCCAAAAGTAAACAAACAATAATGATTGCATAGTAAAAACAGAACATTTTACTTCAGGTAAGGATATGGCCAACAGTGTTGAATGTTGCAAAGAAGTCAAGAAAAAGAACTAAGGGGAAAAAACCCCAAAACGTTGGATTTGGTTATGAAGGCTTAGAGAAAACAGTTTCAGCTGAGTGATGTGTAGGAAGTTAGACTAAGGGAATTTATAGCTAAAAGTACATACCAGTGTTATGAAATTTTTTTGGTTAAGAGAAATACAGTTATTCGCTTGATGGTAACAGGGTAGGATGTTTACGGCAAAATTATTGATAACAGGTCCTCCATGAGCTGTTGAAGGTATAAGAAATACTAAACAACTGATAGAGCAAAGTTTCAGAGAGGAGATAGCCGAAATTTTTACTGTTGTCTTAGAAAGAGTAACTGGCCTTTGAAAATGATAACAAAGTAAGGGAGGTTAGGGAGAGATACAAAAAGTTTTTGAGAGGTATAAATTAAGATGTTGAAGATGTTTGACATTTATCTTTCTTCTTGCTTCATTGAGATTATGTGATCATCTGAGAATAAAGTATTTAAGACATGAAATTTGTCTGCAGGAGTGCAGAAAAGTTTGAAAAGGCTGCTACAGGATGTTTGGTAGGAGTTTAATAAAGGAGAACTAAAGATTCTTGAGCATCCATGAGTATTTGGTAAAGAGGTATATGATTGATTATTTGGGTTGTTTTAGGAATTCAGGAAATAGTGTTCTGGAATGGAAGGCTTTGAGTACATTGCACATATATGCTACAATCGGGGCAGGTGTGTGTGGATCCAACTTCCTATGTAGTAGATAAAAATAACATTACAGATCAAATTATATCTTTCAGTTATCCTAGTTAATTCTGAAAAGATATTGGTGGTGATATGTAGAAAGTGTTCAAGCATCAAAGAAATGATTGTACAAGATGTACTTGGGTTTCCTTTTAATAGTGTATGGGTTTATAGTCCTTTAGTAACTAGTACCTTGCTTCCTGCTTTTTTCTTTTTGGTACTTAGAAGTTTTGTGAGTCAACTTTAAATAACCAGGATTATTCTTTGATTTAGTAGACCAAAGTTTAGTGGAAATATTAATATTTGACTTGAAAGTTAGAAAGACATCTGGCTACCATCTAATATCATGTTCAGATTTGGTATATGAACACCCTTCCTAAGTTAGTGCCATAAATTAAGAGTCCAATAAATATTTGATTATTATCATTCTTGGATGTTAAAGTTAAGTGCACTGGGGCTATTTCTTGTTCCTCTCTAGGACTGAGCATTGTACCCCTCACTAATAGGAACTTTTCCCCTTTATGTTTATATTTGGCCTAAGCTAAGAGAAGTTCAATATAAGATAATGTGGGCACTAAAAGATAATGTAGGCGGCACTATCAGGACTGATAAATCAGCGTGATGTTTAAAGGCCTGAAATGAATTAAAAGTGAATTTTTTAAAAAAATGTTTTTAGTTGTTGATGGACCTTTATTTTATTTATTTATATGTGGTGCTGAGAATTGAACCCAGTGCCTCACACATGCTAGGCAAATGCTCTACCACTAAGCCACAATCACAACCCCAAAAGTGAATCCTTATTAAGAAAATTTATAGTTTTGCCAGTAGCTACAGCAGAATATGCAGCAGAATACACAGAAAAGATTCTTAGTCACTTTTGAAGAAAAAGTTATCTTCCAACTTTTTTTGGGGGGGGTGTGGGGTACTGGGGATTGGACTCAGGGGCACTTGACCACTGAATCACATCCCCAGCCCTATTTTGTATTTTATTTAGAGACAGGGTCTCACTGAGTTGCTTAGCACCTCACTGTTGCTGAGGCTGGCTTTGAACTCCTGATTCTTCTGCCTCCACCTCCTGAGCCGTGGGTTTACAGGTGTGTGCCACCACGCCGAGCTTCCTATTTGCTTTTGAATCAGAAAATTGGATTTAAGCTTGATTAAAAGAGGATTTTGTTGTATTTGTAGATGAACAGAGTGCATATTCATAACTTCATTTGGCAGGTACAATCCATGGACTGACCTAAACATCACTATTTTTCTTTATACTTTTGTGAGCACTTTAATATTTTGGAATTACAGTAGTTTCTTTAAAAAGAGGAAATGGTTACTTTTAAATAGTAGTTGGACTTGGCTTTGGAAGTATAGCTTTAGAGTTTTAGTAATTATGAAAGGAGTTCATGTAGATTATTGCATCATAATTCTGGTCTTAGTCTTTATTCCATTTTTTATTCCAATCTCTAGATTGCTATTTAATATCACCACTAAACGCATTTGGTTATTTAAATTCACATTTAAGTGAATTAGTATCTATAAAGTTAAAAGTATAACTTGTTAGCTACATTTATTTTTTATTTTAATTTTTAGTTGTAGGTGGACACAATACCTTGATTTTATTTATTTATATGTGGTGCTGAGGATCAAACCCAGGGCTCATACATGCTAGACGAGTGCCGCACTGGTGAGCCACAACCCCAGCCCTATTAGCTACATTTTAAATACACCATAGTAACATGTGGCTGGTGGTACTGCATTGCCCCAGTCCAGATAACATTTCTGTCATTAGGGACAGTTCTGTTGGACAATGGTACTCTGGATTTTTAATTGCTACTTGGTACCAGGGAAGTATATGTCAGAAATTTGGAATAGATATTTTAAAAAATTCCACAAAACCATAGAATTAATGCTACTTTAATCCTTAAATAGCTTCAACTTTCTCAAAATTAAATGTTATTTCTTTAAGATAGTTTAAATTTTTTTTAGTTGTAAATGGACACAATATCTTTATTTTATCTATCTATCTGTTTGTTTATGTGATGCTGAGGATTGAACCCAGTGCCTCACATGTGCTTGGCAAGCACTGTATCACTGAGCTACAACGTCAACTCTTAAGATGAGTTTAATATTTAGTTTTGGTATCAGTCATTCTGATAGTATAGAGTAGAGTAAAATAGGTTAAAATCTGGCTCTGCTGAACTTTTTATTTAACATTTTTCAGGTATAATTGTTATACCATAAATTGTACTTATATTAAGTATAAAATTTAATAAGTTTTTTTGGGGGGTGGTGTCAGTCTTTATTGTAGGGTTCCCACTGAGCCCAGCACTGGAATGGAGTGCTCCTGTCCTTGGTTGGAGCTGGGGAGTTCTGGAGTCCTGTTGTCCCCTGGCACTCAAACATTGGGAGGGAGTAGGGGTCACTTGGGAGCAGTGAAGGGGTCAGTCTGCAGGTGAGCAGGTGAGTGGGTGGGCCCCCTTCTACCACAAAGAGGTCTGAGGTATCACTGTTCTGCTCTTGACTCATGAAGAAATAACCATGGAAACTCAGGGGCAACCACATAGCACTGGCTTCAGACAAGCAAAATTTAATAAGTTTAACATGTATACATCTCTGGAACTATCATCATAATAGAGATAACAAGTCATCACCCACAAAAATTTTCTCATGCTCTTTTATAATTCCTACCTTTCATTCTTTTCCAACTCTTCTCCTCATCTCACCTTAAGACATTCAATGATTGGCTTTCTGTTATAATAGATTGGTTTGCATTTTCTAGGATTTTATATAAATTGGAGTCACATAAACTATACTTTTCTTTTTGTACCAGGGATTGAAGATAGAGGGTGCTTAACCACTGAGCCACATCCCTATCCCCTTTTATAAAAAAATATTTTATCCGGCTAGGGCTCAGTGGTAGAACACTTGCCTAGCATGTGTGAGGCACTAGGCTTAATTCTCAGCACCACATATAAACAAATAAATAAATAAAGGTCTATCAATAACTAATAAAAATATTTTAAAAAAGATTTCATCTAGAAACAGAGTCTCACTGAACTCAGTATACCTTTGGTAAGTTGCTCAGGCTAGCTTTGAAATCGTGATCCTCCTGCCTCAGCCTCCTGAGCCACTGTGTGCACCACTGAGCCTGTCTAAAATATACTTTTTTTTGATCTGGCTTCTCTGTTATTTTGAGACTAATTCATTTTTTAAAAAATATTTATTTTTAGTCGTAGTTGGACACAACACCTTTATTTATTGTTATGTGGTGCTAAGGATCGAACCCAGGGTCTTGCACATGCTAGGCGAGAGCTCTACCGCTGAGCCACAACCCCAGCTCGAGACTAATTCATTTTGATGTACATGTACATTACTTTTTATTCTATGATATATTACAATTTGTTCATTCATTAATTTGTTGATCATATTCCAGTTTAGGTTACAAATAAATTGCTAAGAACATTTATATACAAGTCTTTGTATGATATATATTTTTATCTCTTTGAGTTAAAACCTAGGTATATGATGGCTGGATCATATGGCAGGTTGTGTATTTAAGGAAAGTTGGTAGTTTAAGAAATTACCAACTGTTTTCCAAAGTGGCTGTACTGTTTTATATTCCCATCAGTGTTTCAGTAGCACAGTATCCTTGCTTATATTTGGTATGGCTAAGCTTTTAAATTTTATCTCACAGACTGTTTCCTTAAAAAAAAAAAAAAGACTATTCTAGTAGAATTGATTTCACCTTGTTGTTTTGGTTTTAAAGTGATGTAAAAATAAAATTTGCATGAAAGGATTTTAGGTATTGCCCTTGTCTGTTTACCCTTTCTAAATTTTTTATGGTATTTGCCACTAATGCTGATTTGAAACCTAGTTTATAAGAACCAATACGTTTTCTTCCCTTTTTACTTACATGTTTGTCTCATTTTGTTCCAGCGGCCCCTTTGTTGCTTTATGCAAACAGACGGGACTTGCGATTGGTTGATGCTACAAATGGCAAAGAGAATGCTACAATTGTAGTTGGAGGTTTGGAGGATGCAGCTGCGGTGGACTTTGTGTTTGGTCATGGCTTGATCTACTGGAGTGATGTCAGCGAAGAAGCCATTAAACGAACAGAATTTAATAAAACTGAGAGTGTACAGAATGTTGTTGTTTCTGGATTATTGTCCCCTGATGGGCTGGCATGTGATTGGCTTGGAGAAAAATTATACTGGACAGATTCTGAAACTAATCGGATTGAAGTTTCTAATTTAGATGGATCTTTACGAAAAGTTTTATTTTGGCAAGAGTTGGATCAACCCAGAGCTATTGCCTTAGATCCTTCAAGTGGGTAAGTTTTTGTATATTGTTCAAAGGTCATTCATTGTATCTCTTTTTCCTGGTTTCTCCTCTCACACACCCCTCACTGCCAAATGAAAAGAAAGATAAAATAGGAAGTTGAGAATCTTTAGGTTTTCCCCAGTGTAGTCTTTCTTGTTTTCTCTCTTTCTTTTCCTTTTTTTTTTTTTTTTTTTTTTAAGAAAAAGGACAAAGAAGTTTTATTGCTCTGCTAGCAAAGGAGAAAGTTGGGGGACTCCTGTCCCAGAGACTGTGATTCTGCCCAACAGGGGAACAGGGGTTCTTCAAAGCGGTGGTTTAAAGGCTACATTCTACCTGTTCTCTCCAGAATTGTAATTTATTTGTTAATTTGGGAGATAGTAATTTCTGAAATCTTCTAGTGCCATACCCAAAGTCTGAATTATTTTGTTTCTGTGGTTGACGTGCTCAAGAACAGATAACTGCCTAGGATGGGGAAAAAAGGTAATCTGATTTCCCCCAGATAGGGAGGGGGAGGGAGACATCAAGATCAAGTCACAATGGGCTGGAGTTGTAGCTCAGTGGTAGATTGCCTGCCTGGCTTGTGTGAGGCCCTGGGTTTGATCCTCAGCAATGCATATAAATAAATAAATAATCAATCCATTGACAACTAAAAAATATTAAAAAAAAAAAAGTCATAGTGGCAGAGCAGCAAGGGCTACATTCAAAGCATGAAGTGGACCTCTGTTATATTTCTCCATTGCCAATGTCTAATTCTGTTTCTTTGGAAAAGTGGGTGACAACATCTCCAAGTTGCTTCTTGCTGAGAGAGGGTAAAGTTGTGGGAGGGGAAGTGACCTGAAGTGCTTGTTCTCTGTCAGGTGGGGCATGGACAGTTAAGGATATTCAGCTTCAGGGCAGTTCAGAGGTCTGTGGTGACTGGACAAGTCATACATAAGGCAGGGGTCATGTTGAAATTTTTCAGGCAAGATTTGTGAAAACCTATGGTTGCATACAAACCCCAAAGAGGCTTAAACCAGGAAGCAGAGAGAGCTTTCAGTTCATTTTAAAAAGTATATTTTGTTTTGAGATAGGGTCTCACTAAGCTGCTGAGGCCAGGCTCAAAATTGCAATCCTCCTTGCATCATCAGCCTCCCTAGTTGCTGGGATTACAGGATTGTGCTGCCATACTCCGTTTAAGTAGTCTTGAACATGGGAAGCTATATACTTAGAGTAAGATGTCTGGGGGCTGGGGACGTGGCTCAAAGGTAAGGTGTTGCCTGGCATGCATGGGGTGCTGGGTTCGATCCTCAGCACCACATAAAAATAAAATAAAGATGTTGTGTCCACCGAAAACTGAAAAATAAATATTAAAAAATTCTCTCTCTTTCTCTCTTCTCTCTCTCTTTAAAAAAAAGATGTTCTGTAAATACATTTATGCTTCTAACAGCATAAAAGTATTATGAAATAGCCATGTTTATAGTTCTTGCTTTTCTTCTGCATTTACTTTTTGTAATTATGAGAGGATAATTAGAAGGGAGAGGAGGGAATGGTGGCTTAACAAGACTTTTATTTGATACTTTAAGATGAGATTAAAAAAATTTACAGATTTTATAACTTTATTTAACAATTATATAGTCATAATATTTTGTAATACTAATGTTTTATATTAAACTTGAAACACTATTTAAAAAAATTTTTTAGTTGTAGATTGACAAAATATCTTTATTTAATTTTATGTGGTGCTAAGAATTGAACACAGGGCCTCTCACATGCTAGGCAAACTCTTGTCACTGAGCTACAATCCCAGCCCTGAAATACCATTTAATATATCAGTGTTGAATTAAAACATTTAGTTATTGAATAACTCATCCCAGTCAGTACATGTATATTTGCAGTAAGAATATTTGTTTTTTAGTTTTAGGTTGGTATAATATCTTTATTTTATATTTACGAGGATCAAACCCAGTGCCTCATGCATACTAGGCGAGCACTCTACCACTGAGCCACAATCCCAGTCCTTAATACTTTTTTTTAAACTTAAGTGTGTTGGAATACTTTAAAACTCATTTATAGAAGAGAGTGTATTAATTTTATGTACTCATGTAGAACTCGGAGAAAATGAAAGGAAGGGTTGTATATGTTCCTTTATTTTATTTCTGCCCTGATTTGGTGATGAAGGTTTAAGATGATGCCATTATGTTGGAAAATGAAAAAATTCCTTTGATTATAAAGGATAAGATAACATGGTAGTATTACAATGAAATTTTAGGGTTAGATGTTTGAGAAAGCACAGATAGATACATATTTTAAAGAGGAATTTAAGGGGCACATGTTGAAGTCAGATAGTGCTCTTAAAGCACCAGAAAGGACCTCGGAGTTCTGGATGCCTGTGCCAACCCCCACCCACCTGCAGCCTCCATTCTCTCCCCACACACCCATCTCCACCCCAACACCACAGAGGCAAGGAAGTACCACCTGATCTGGGGAAAGTAATCTGTTTGAACAATTCCTGAATGTAGGTGTATATAGGAATCCAGCGCAGATGACAGTAACTGAGACTGCCAAGATGGGGTCTCCTTATGGTGCCTACACTGGTCTTCTGTATTCAAGTGATGTTCCTGCCTCATCCTCATTAGTGGATGGAACAACAGGCACATACAACTGCATCCAACTTAATTTTAAACTACAAATAAAAATCATATTCAACAGATACTTTTGAAATTTAATATTCAATTGAACCTCAATGACTCTTCTTGGAGTACAGCATAAATATGAACCATAAGTTTACATTTTGTCTGTTCCAGTGTTTTACTTCCAGCTTTGTTGATGTATATCTGATGAATAAAAATTGTATATTTTTACCATGTTAAAAAAAAAAAGCACCAGAAAGTATTGTAATGGCTGAGGTAGTAGCAAGAGGGTTGGACATTCTCAGAGGTTGTGATCAAAGAATTTGGTTATTGAGAACTTTTTAGATTTTT